TGGTTCTAAACTATTTATGAATGACAAGATGTTCTTATATCTGAGAAATGTCTTCTTTGTTATTTAGTCATCTCGCGAGAAGGAACCACAACGAATTCTAAAGTCATCGATCTGCCGGGTGTTCCAGCTATCGTGGACAGTCACGATCTATCCCGCCTAAAAATAATAATGTGTCTCACTTCTTTTTGAATTTTCCGTTAATTGTCCGCGCGACGGGAGAAGGCCAGACGGTTGAGGTGACGCCTAAAAGACCTTGATACGACACATTTGGCACGTGTCGATCTCTAAGTAATCGAACGAACGGACAAAACTTTGTCTTCAAATTGCAGGGTTTACCGTCGATTTCGTTGATTTCGGATTGTTCCATTGAAATCAGCGTGAAAAGATCATTGCTCGTGCATCGCTGTTGGAGTATGTGGGTGAATCAAAACACAAGAACTCCGCAGCTGACAGTACCAGGTACTGGTACCGCCAAAGGCTTTGGCGACATTGCCCTTTCCCTAACTTCGCGCCATACTTGAAATCGACTCATGTCCCTGTATCGTCGAGGTACCACCCAAGTGTCACATTTCAACAATAAGCCATGGCCAACGTTGGATCAGCAAAACCACCCCATTGGTCACCAGAGGAAATCAAGGCATTGGCAATTACCTACCGTAAGGTCTCTGAAGATCCAGTGGAGGGGGTTAAACAAACTGGGTGTTGACGAGAAACAGCAATTGAATATGGCCTACGCATTCTACATTGAAAGGACCAAGAAAGTCGCTGACCACGACGACACATTTGGCACGTGTCGATCTCTAAGTAATCGAAAAGAACGGACAAAACTTTGGCAGAGGTTTACCGTCGATTTCGTTGATTTCGGATTGTTCCATTGAAATCAGCGTGAAAAGATCATTGCTCGTGCATCGCTGTTGGAGTATGTGGGTGAATCAAAACACAAGAACTCCGCAGCTGACAGTACCAGGTACTGGTACCGCCAAAGGCTTTGGCGACATTGCCCTTTCCCTAACTTCGCGCCATACTTGAAATCGACTCATGTCCCTGTATCGTCGAGGTACCACCCAAGTGTCACATTTCAACAATAAGCCATGGCCAACGTTGGATCAGCAAAACCACCCCATTGGTCACCAGAGGAAATCAAGGCATTGGCAATTACCTACCGTAAGGTCTCTGAAGATCCAGTGGAGGGGGTTAAACAAACTGGGTGTTGACGAGAAACAGCAATTGAATATGGCCTACGCATTCTACATTGAAAGGACCAAGAAAGTCGCTGACCACGAATTCAAGGACTTTGACATAAAAAATGGAGGTTCTACGATGCATGGAAAATCCTCAAAGACATGAGATACTTTGAGAGCGAGGCTGCCAATAATCTTTGTGGACGAGATGCCAATTCGCCTTCTCCGGGATCAAAGGGTGGTAGACCCAAGGGAACAAAGCTTTCAAAGGTCCAGGAGGTCATTGAACGCCGCCAAGCTTCCCGCGAGGCCTATCGGAAGCAGGCAGAAGCTCAAAATGAGGAAAGACGAAAGGAAGTGGCAAAACGGATCGACACTCTAGCCACTCAAATTCAAGAAAGTACCGCTAGCCTGCAGGCAATGTGCGAAACAATGATGTCCCAAAATAAATTGAAGACCTGCCGTAGCTTGATGAAAGTCGCGCCACCTTCCAAGAAGCCGAAGCTCCAGGCTTTGATCAATGAAGAGAGTCAAAAGATGCTTGAAGGGTCTGGTCTTTCTTTGGATGATGTTGCAGTGCTCTAAATAGGATATTACTTTAGGATATTACTTTAGGATATTACTTTAATTGCAACTCCACCTGTCTATATGTTCAACTAAGAGGTTAATGAAAAACTTGTAGAAGATGAGGAAGAGTTGGAAGGCATCAAGGCAGTTTCTACCGACAAGAATAGGTGTAATTGATGATTTTTCGGCTGGGAGGCAGTACTTAGTGCCGTCAATTGCGGATCGACGGCAAGACCGAAGAAGGGTTGCCCTCACAATGTACCGGTACCAGGAAGTGCCAAGCGCTGTGGACAGCAATCATAAACCATCCCCCTTTTATTTTGGAGGGAAAACAGGTTCACTGACACGTGCCCCCTCCACTTTTGTGACATGGGCACGTTGTCCGGAAAGTAAGCAGGCTAAGGAGAGAGAAGTCGGGGATACTATTGGGGGTAAATGAGTTTGAGGTTAGGTCATACCGCACCGAGCGTTTCCCTTTCGAGGCATAGTCATAAAGCGTCTGCACGTCCTCCGATTTCAGCCAATCACATCTATTCTATCTAGTCGAGTGACGGCCTCGGCTGGAGATGCTCTTACGGTACGCTAGTACAAGTTCGAAAGTATCGTAAACTGCATGTATCCTATCGTACGGGTTCGTACTTGGTACACGTATCTTCTACTACCAGTATAGTACTCGCACCGGCCGGTAGAGAACAATGAAATTGAAAATGCGAGACTCTTGGTTTTTATATGAATTCGTTCATCGACGAATTCATTCAACATTTGACGAATTCATTCAACACGAACTGCTGCGAGCAAACCCAAAACGACTTTACGAATCATCTGTATCTTCAAGGTCAGGCCAGTTGTTGAGGGATGGAGTAAAAAGGAGACCACAACATTACCAGCTTTCGGAAGTCTGTTGCGAATTTACATCCTTACGTGCTGAATGAACAACACAATAAGGAAACCAGCACGAAAAAAGTACCGGAAGTCTATCGTGTCAGCTGGACGCTGTGAATCTGCATCTTCGCGTTTTGAAAAGATTGGTCGAATTGGCGAGGGGACGTATGGCATCGTCTATAAAGCTCTTGATAGAAAATCGAACAACAGCCTTGTGGCACTGAAGCGATGCATTCCGCATCATGAGTCAAGCGATGGCTTTCCGTTAACAACGCTGAGAGAAATTCACGCGTTAAATTTGGCTGCAAGTCATCCAAACGTTGTCGATTTATTAACAGTAGCTGTGTCTGACTCTGGTGTCTTTCTAGCGATGCCCTTGGTCGGGAATGATCTAGCTGCAATATTGGACGATCCGACAGCACAACCATTTTCCGAGGCCGAAGTGAAGACCTTGGTGCGGCAGCTACTTAGCGCTCTGGACTTTTGCCATGGTCATTCTTTGATTCATAGAGACGTCAAGCCTTCAAACCTATTGATATCGTACAAAACTGGTCTAATGCTTGCTGATTTCGGATTGAGCCGCCACATCTACAAAGGGCAGTGTTGTACAGTAAACGTCGTATCTTTGTGGTATCGAGCTCCTGAGCTTTTAATGCAACGGAACTGTTCTGCCTACAGTTTTGGGATTGATATGTGGGCTGTAGGTTGCGTGTTCGCTGAGTTGCTGGAAGGATCACCGCTGATACCTGGAACAGATGACAATGACCAAATAGAAAAGATGATCAGATGCATGGGCCGGCCACCATTGAATTTTTTAAGCGATCACATCCCAAAGAAGAAAGGGATCGTCTCCACTGGAAATTTGTGGGATCGTTTTGTTGATTTGTCAAATGAAGGTCTTCTCCTAATGGCTAGACTTTTGGAGTACGATTACACAGTGCGTTTGACGGCTTCTCAGGCGATGCAGTGCGAATATTTCCAGGTTCATCCTCTTCCATCTACCAAAATTTCCACCTTGTTGAAATAGTCTTGGATTGGGTTTGCTATCGAGTTAGTCACAATGCTAGTACTATCATCCCTTCATTATCTTGGATGAGTGTACTTTCCAGAGTATAATACACGATTGTTCTGCAACAACGCAGAGCTAGATGTCGATACGAATGGCTGGCAAATACCTATTTGACTGACAAAACGTATCATACCCTATGATATATCTAAATAATCCTTTTGGCTCACAATGGCAATTGAACCTCTGAAAGGCAGATAGCAAATATTCCCAATCAATTGAAGATCATTGCAACATTGAATTCATAGTGAAAGGACCTCGGGTTGATTTCTTGTAAATTACTCAGCCTTCTTTTCGGCTTGCTTTTTGGCAGCTTTCGTGAGTGATTCGACCATGACGATTGACCCCCTGGTCAGAAAGATGAGCAATGCACAACAGCCGATCGACATCAAGCGATACGAGTCGCCGACAATCAAATCCTGGCCTGGAGGAGGGCTCAGCATGTAGTTCAAGTTGTATCCTGAAGCGATTGAAACCAGAGAGACTGGAAGAAAGTAGAACAACCCGAATCCAGCACAGGTGACCAACCACCACTGGACGTTAAACCAAAGGGTAGAACAAGTTCGGGAAGGCGAAAGTAGCGAGACTCTTCCAGTGGCAAGATATGCAATTGGAATTACCAATAGAGCGATATGATTCTACATAAAGCGAAAGATAGTGAGGTGGAAATGAATGTAACAAAGAAAGCTCAATAAATCTGCTACCCACGAACCAAAAAAAGAACGGTTCAAACGGAAAAAGACAGTCGGAAACATCTGGAGTAGCCAATGCTGGCAGGGTATATCCACTATAACCATCTGAAGATTAGACGAGTCGAAAGTTGCGTAGAATGAGTTGATTGTAGTGAGACTTACCAATAGGATAGCAAGAGCTGGTAAAGAACCCCTTGAACAGGGCCAGACCAACTTCCAAAACAAATCAATACAGTCAGTTGCCATTGCACATTACATGGCACACAAAGAAAAAGAATTTTCTTGCCCAGAGTCTTGTAGAAGAGGTGCGCAGCCATACATGAAGCTGCCAGCGTTGGAATCCCAAGCGGGTGACCAGCTTTGGTTCCTGATCTTTTGCCTTCCAACTGCAAGAGCGATGGAAGAATTTTCCAAATTACCATTAAAAAAATTGGTGATAGTATGAGCATTTCCAACGCGTGTCTAGTTGGAGAGAGATACCAACTTCCGACAAGCGACCGCATCGTAAAGTCTCTGCAGAAAATAACAAGGCTTTCGTCGGTTTCTCCATTTGGTCCCAAGAAGCATATGTCGCTGCCAGTAACCTCTTCAAATGGCGGGTTGTGTTTCAAAAGCGATGGGTTCAAGGATTGAACCCATCGACCTAATGCTCCAGCGGCAGAATGAAGAAGAGACTCCATAACGATGTTTGGATGTTTGATGTTTGATGTTGGCACTGTAAAAACATTCAAGCAGGAGTTCCAAGATGTCATTGCGCATCGATCGAAGTAGTCGCTTTTTGTGTTCTAAATAAGAATCGTAGTCTTGGTAGCTGGGTCGTGGTGTGAAGCGGGTCGAACTGATCGAGTACTCGATTTGTTCGACCAATCTCAGAAATCCCGTGTGCGGTATTACTGAGATCTGCTTTCCTACCACAAGGTTGATCTAGGAGTGACCAACCCAACACCACAAGCCACTTTGAGCACTCAAGAGACAAACAAAGAACGCAAAGAACAGGAACAAGGAAGAAAAACTAGATCTACGAAAACGACATCGTCATCACTCCAGTAATGGCCTTCTGCAACAGATCACCGACGCCTTGGAAGCAGTCACGCAAGTATGTGGGCACAGATGTCGGACTCCAGCGCAATTTAAACGCAATGTCGTCATTACTGGCTCCACC